TAAAGGAACTGGGGAGCTCTGGTGGCCTAGTGGCAAGAAGCTGCACTGCAATCCCAGAGGTGTGTGGTTCGAATCCACCAGATGTTCTGCTGGAGAAGGAGGGGCCATCTCCTGTACCAGTCAGATCTGATTTGACGGTATACACACATAAAATAACAGTAAAAAAAATTTAAAAACAAAACAACTAAAATAGCCCCAGAATACTTATTTTTTCAAATGTGTTTAGGTATCAGTGCACAAAGTTGTAAAAGGAACACATGTTTGTTGAGTATATTGCATGCTTGGCATTTTTCTCAATATTGTATGTAACTATCTCAAGTGAGGAAGACCCTCAACAAGAGGAATTAATGCAATGCCTACCAATAGACTCAAGTATTTTGAGAATCATGATGGCACAGGATAGACTAAATTTTGATCTTTTGTTCACAAGGTTGAGTTATAGTCAAGTTAACAGCACATAACAGCAACTCAAGTAATACAATAGCCTTAACTATAAAGTTGTTGTTGCTGTTAGGTTCCAGTGAGTTGAGTATGACACTTAGCAAACCATGGGCAACAGGTCTCACACCCGTCATGTCCTGGGCCATCCTCACAATTTCTGACACTCTACAGCCCATTGCAGCAATCACTTTGTCAATCTATCTTCCCAAACATTATGTCCCCCTTCAAGGAATACTTCTCCTAGTAACATGCCTGGATATGTGAGACGAAGCTTTATCATCCTTGCCTCCAAGGGGCACTCTGGCTGTACTTTCTCCAAAATGTATTTGTTTGTTCTTTTGGAAGTCCATGGTATATTCAGTAATCTTCTCCAACACCACAACTCGGAGGAATCAGTTTTTCTTCTTTTATCCTTATTCATTGTCCAGCTCTCTGATGCACAGCAAGTGATTGAAAAGACAATTACATGAAGTATAATATAAAATTAATAAATAAGAAAGATGAGTTTTAAAAGAGGCTACCTTTCCACCGTCACAGACAGAACAAGTTCCAAAGGATGTTTGTTCTCTTGAAATATGTTAAAGACTATTTGTATCAGAATCATGTGTAGTGCATGTTGACAGTATAGTGTTCAGATTGTGTACCATCAGTAGTTAATTATAAATGGATTATTTTAAAGTTTCAATAACATCTCAATAGAGCTGTTTGAAAATTATTTCCATAAATTTTAACCTCACTGGTGTGAAAAAGGGAACTCTGGCACTGTAAGTCTAAGAAGCTGCACTGCTAAGAGAAAAGAGGTGCATCTATGTTGATTTGAACACATCAGTGACTGTGTGGGAGAAAGATGTACAATATCCTCGGGCACAATTTATAACCTGTGAGAATCCACTGAAGGGTTATCTGTGAGTCAGTTCTGACAGTATAGTAAGTGCAGAGTGAGAGAGGTGTAAAAAGAGAGTGCCTTTAGGATTTCTGCATAAGAAATGCAACTATTTGCTTGTTATCCTGCTCAAGGATGCCTTGCAAATTGTCTATAAATATTTTGAGAGTTATTCAGCAAACTCCACAGATAGAACTTCTAGTAAAAGAACTAAAAAAGGCATTTTCATTTGGTTCTCTGTTTACATGTCCATGGTTTCTTTTATATTATCATTTGTTATTCCACTTGTCAAAAGATCTTCCCTTTTCTAAAAAAAATTTACTTTTTTACTAATATCATGAGATTTCTTATGAAACTTTTCCTTGTTGCAAAGAAAATGAGAGAAATTGATTACTATTTAGTTTGAATGGAGCTGAACTTGGAATTGCATTTGTATTTGTATGGTATTTTTACTTTCCAGTGAATGGGAAATTTTCTTTTTTTTTCTTTTCCTTTTCCATTTCCCTGTGAACCAAGCACCAGTTTGGTGCTGCACACAGAATAGTGAATAATGAAGTCATAGTGCTTGCCTTCTCAGAGAAGCTGATATAGTAACCACTTTGGATCATCATTTTAGGCTATAGAACTATGAAATACATAAGATAGAGGTATAAGCTTATTTAAAATATGAGAAGATGAATGCTAAAGATGCAGCAAGGCCAACCCACAGTTGTATTTCAGTTAAGTGACCACATTATTTATTGTTGCTGTTATGTGCCGTCGAGTCGTCTGCGACTCATAGCAACCCTATGTACAACTGCCTAAACTCTGCCCTATCGGGTGTGAGTCTCACCATCTCTGACACACCTGCCCCCATTATTACCCCAGTCACTGAATCGATCCATCGCATTGAGGGCCTTCCTCTCCTGCACTGTCCCTCCATCCTCCTAAGCATGACGTCCCTCTCCAAGAACTGGTGCCTCCTTTGAACATGTCTAAAGTATGTCAGACAAAGCTTCAGAATCCTTGCCTCCAAGGAGCAGTCCGGCTTCACCCTTTCCAGGGCAAACCTGTTCATTTTCCTAGCAGTCCATGGTATATTCAGTATTCTTCTCCAACACCACAGCTCAAAGGCATCAATTCTCCTTCCATCATCCCTAGTCATTGTCCAGCTCTCTGGTGCATAGCCAGTGATTGCAAAGACCACGGCATGTATCAGGAGCACCTTAGTCTCCAGACTGATATCTTTGCACTTCAGCACTTTGGAGAGGTCTCTAACTACAGACTTACCCATTGCAATATGTCTTTTAATTTCCTGGCTGCTGGTGCCAAGAGTGTTGACTGTGGAGCCAAGCAAACCAAATCTGTGAACAATCTCAATCTCTTCACCATCCATTATGACACTGCCAATCAGTTCAGTGGTGAGAATCTTTGTTTTTTTGATATTGAGTCTCAATCCATAATGAAGACTGCAGTCCCTGACCTTCCACAGCAAGTGCTTCAGATCCTCTTCAGTTTCAGTAAGCAAGGTTGTGTCATCAGCATAACACAGATTTTTGATGAGTCTTCTTCCTCCAATCTTGACACCACATTTCTCCTCATAGAGCCTAGCCTCCTGGATAACCTGTTCTGCATAAAGATTGAAAAGGTATGAAGACAGGATACAATCCTAGCGTACACCCTTCCCAATTTTGAACGATGCAGTGTTTCCTTGCTCTGTTCTGATGACTGCCTCCTGGTCCAGGTATAGGTTTTGCATTAGAACGATCAAGTGTTCTGGGATTCCCATTCTTCTCAGAGTTAGCCAGTTTGTTATGATCCACACAGTCAAATGCCTTTGCATAAGCAATGAAACAAAGACAGACATTTTTCTGGTACTCCTTGCTTTCAGCCAAGATCCATCTAACATTAGCTACAATATCCCTAGGACCTAGTCTAAATTCAGCCTGCACATCTGGTAGTTCCCTGTTGATGTGCTGTTCCAGTCATTTTTGGATAATCGTCAGCAAAATCTTGCTTCCATGTGATTAATGATACTATTGGATATTTTCCACACTCTGTGGGATCAACTTTCTTTGGAATGGGAACAAATATAGATCTCTTCCAGTCAGTTGACCAAAGGTTGTTCTCCAGATTTCTTGGCACAACTTGGTGAGCACATCTAGGGCAGCACCTCTTAACTGAAATATGTCAATTGGTATACCATCAATTTCTGGGGCCTTTTTCTTACCAATTCTTTCAAAGCAGGCTGAACTTCTTCCTTCATCACTATAGACTCTTGCTCATATGTTGTTTCATTAAATTCTTCTGTTTCTAACAATTTTTTTTTAGTATAATGACTTTGTATATTCTTTTCATCTTATTTTAATACTTGCAGGGTCACTCAATATTCTGCCCAAAGCAACCTTAAGTATTGCAACTCGAGGCTTGAATTTCCTCTTCAGTTCCTTGAGCTTAAGAAATGCTGAGTGAATTTGGCCTCTTTCATTTTCTGACTCCAGCTCTTTGCACATTTCATTATAATATTTTACCTTATCTTGCTGCACAGCCTTTTGAAATCTCCTTTTCATTTCCTTAATGTCTTCTCCTACCAGTATCAAATTTATCAGCCAGCAGCCAGGAAATTAAAAGATTAATTGCATTGGGAAAATCTTCTGTCAGAGATCTCTCCAAAGTACTGAAGAGCAAGGATGTCAGTCTAGAGATTAAGGTGTGCCTGATGCAAGTCATGGTCTTTGCAATCACTTGCTATGCATAAGAGAACTGGACAATGACTAGAGATGACAGAAGTAGAATTGATGTCTTTGAGCTGTGAGGCTGGAGAATAGTATTGAATATACGTACCATAGACTGCTAGGAAGAACAAATAAGTTCATTCTGGAGAGGGTGAGACCAGGCTGGAGTCAAGGTTTCTAAAGCTTCGTCTGACATACTTTGGACATGGTATAAGGAGGAACCAGTTCTTGGAGAGGGACATCATGCTAGGGAGGGTGGAGGGACAATACAAAAGAGGAAGACCCTCGATGAGATGGATTGATTCATTGACTGGTGTAATGGTGCTAGGTATAGGAAAGACAATAAGATTGGTAAAGAATAGAGCAAGGTTTAGGGCAGTTGTACATAGAGTCGCTATGAGTCGCAAGCAACTTGACAGCACATAACAACAACAATGCTATCTGTTAAAATTAGCTACTTTTCACATCTTAAATTGATGAAACTCTTACCTTTCTTGTAATAATTTTAGTTTTACATGTTGATGTGTAAAGATTGAACAGGTCAAATGAATTCCAGATAATTAGAAGTGAAAATGGTGAAAGTAGAACAATTGGAAAGTAAACTATCAATGTTGATTTTTGGAAATTATATATAATATATAGTATATATTATAGTGTACTTTAGTA